AATATATAAAAATTGTAAATATCTTGTTGCATTATAATGTCCTTCACTAATTCTTGGTATGACTTTAAAAGGTCTTTAATAGTTTTAGTTGTCATTGTTAATTGTACAGTTTGAAATATGTAAAAGTGAGGCATGCACGAAATTAAATTCAACTTGAGAAAGTTTGAAAAATATGAGGGTATATACTATATATACTTGTAAGGACCTTTCGTGACTAATAACTTATGACGAACTCAGATCAATTTGGATTTATATGATCCTCCTCGTATTACTATCTTGAGAATATAAAAGCGGTGTATCACCTATTACATCATATACTGTTAATTTTTGTTGCACACGGATATACTATGTAATTATGCAAAAATTCGATAGTGATAATTATTAAGATAACATATAACTCGTATAATTGTATAATTTTACTACTTTACCCTTTTTAGATGCCCAGATTAAATGACAACTTCTTTCTCAAAATATTTTTTACAAAGCAATTTTTTACATTGCGGATCATCTAAAGGCGAATTTCATTTTACTGATCAAACCCAAATCACGTGATTTTATCCAATCAAAGTAGTCACGAGATTAAAATATCACATGATTAATTATCAAATTACCGATTAATTGATTTATCAATTAGTTTAATTTATTAAAAATTATGAAGTAAAACTTTTAAAAAAAGATATATTTTATTTAACTCTTCTAATATATTTTCAGGAATTTTTCTGTGTGATTTGTATTTCTTAACAGCATATTCTGCTAACTTATCTGTAATTCCATACCTGTATAAATCCATATATCACTATGTTTTTCTTGCAAATCTTCAAATAATTATCAAATCTACAGAATCTAAAGTATAAGGAACTATTTTTTGTAATCCACTTCATGTATAATTACAATTATTTCATGTATATCATTTGGAATAATGTTCAATAAAGTTTAATTCATAGTGAAACTTCAGGAAAAATACACAAACATGACCAGCATTTTCAATTATTTCAACCAATGCAGATTTTTAAGCTAAAAATCTGGTTGAAGAGATATAATCCACCTTTCTCAACAATCTACATGTAAAGAATCATCAACTTTATTTCTATATAATTTGCATTCTCCTATCATATTTTTTTTCTACAATTTTTGTTCAATTAAAACCTGTTTTATACCTTTTGGCCGACTATCAGAAAAGGTTATACTTTGTCTTTCATTATTTGGGTCCCAAAAAGTATCATGCATTTTTGATGTATTTCCACCAGGTCTAATATTTATCCTTTTTACAACCAATGCATCAGGAGCAAATGTAAAATGGTTTGAACTATTGTTAAAGCAAACACAGCAACACAGTTTAGAAATAAAGCCTCAAATATTGATATAGCTTTACATTCAACCTGTTTAATAAGATGTTTAGCTGTCCAATATCCCTCATTATTTTTTCATAGTTTTAAATACACACATGACATGCTTCTTTTAAAATATCAGGATAATTCTCAATTTGTTCAGGTGTTAGTTTAAGTTTCCCACAAACTTCAGTTAAAAATTCACTTATCATAATTTATTTTCCATTACCTTTTTGCGTAATGGTAATTTACCTGATTTAGCTCATGTTCTGCATTTTCCATCATTTAAATAGAAAATGCATTCATCATGAACTACTAATACATGTTCTTTTTCTTCTGAAGTTAAGAAGGAATCAACTTTCTCCATATTATCTCTTTCATATATTGCTATATACTTTTCAAGTTCAGCCATTTTGATAAAAACACTTTTTGATATTTTACAACATTTTCTTTTTCATACCCATTATAATATATCCCTTATTTTGCTATTAATAATAATATTCAAACATATTTAACCATTTTACCCATTGTCTTGCAGTATTTATACTAATTGTATTCTTATTAATATCTGTCTTCGGTATCCCGAACAAATTCTTTAAACTGATGTGGTATTGTATAGCTTTTATTTTTTCAAATCTACTTATAGTATATTTCAGCAATATCTTCATCATCAATAATTCTGCTGACTTTCTGATGTTTTCTGCGACGAAATGGAAGCAAGACATTATTAATGTATCAATATTTTACTGTTTGCTGAATTCAAGTAGCCTTTGATTTACTATTACTATTGTATATCATATTTATCACATTCATATCTGCCTTCATTTTTTTCTTCTTTTAATAAATGTACAAGATATTCAAATACAGCATTTTTTTTTAACATACTCGTTTGCTAACATTCCATTAAATTTTCTTTCAAATCTCTTTCCAAATTTAAAACAATTTCTTCTGATAGATAGACAAGCACAGGAGTATTCTCTTTATCTAATAAACTTTCTTATATTGATCCATCTTATCGGCTAAAAAATCCTTCTAATTTTTTAGGTTACTTTTGCTGCTTTTGTTCATGAGCCACTAGGTTCCCATTTGTTATAGTAAGTTGATCTCAGTATCTTATCAATTTTATAAGGACTGTATTTTTCCTTTTCCAATCTAGCATCTGGTCTTCATTTCAATTCAAAATCCACTTTCAAAAGTCTATCCTGTATATCTTGTTCTTTCAAATCAACATCACTTCCTTAATTATTTACCTCATTATTTTCCAAATCCTTTTCATTAAGAATATCATCCAAATCCACTTCTAAATATCCTTCTAATATGTCTATTTCTCTATCACTCTTAATTCTAAAAAAAAAAATTTATTTAATATATTATTCCTTATACATAAATGAGTTAAACAATGTATAAAACTTACTTAAGCTCTGTAGTGAATTTTTCTTTCTTATTCCAGTTTGTGTTTTTAAATACAGCTTTTTTTTTGTTAGGTCAGAGCATGCTTAAAAGAATGTAAGGTTTAAAATCTAAAAAAAAAAGTCTGTTAAACATCGTATTATAAAATTTCATGTAAGCACATTTCATTTTATTAAACAAAATTGATGTCACATGATAAATCGTATGTACAAAATTTAAGTATTTTATAAGAAAGTTGTCAATTTTCAAATGCCTAAGGCTCAAAAAATTTTTAGTTAACTAAAGATTTGAAACTGTAACTTTTATTCTCCATTGTTTATACTATCATTATTACGGATTGTTTTTTCTTTACAATATGTAAAACAAAAGTTTTAGGATTTTGAAGTTTAACAATTTTATTTCTATTTATAGATGATCTACATCATAATAAAATTTTTTATATATGGCTTTGTGCTATAAAAATCAAGATACAAGAGGTGCAGTATATATATATATATATATATTTCAGTCAGAGTGATATATCGGTATGATGGCAATGATCCTTAATGCATGACAATTATCCACTCAAGACTTCAACCTAAGCTCTTCATTTTATAGGCAAACCTTACATTTATGACTAGATCTTGCAATATATGTTACCATATATATTAGACTTAAGCCCTTTAGGAATTACCTCTTAAGGTTACTGACCATCCTGGAATCACATACCACTTTGGACTGAGGGATTCATTACATCATAATCCTTGCTAGGGATTATTTTTACTCAAATTAATGCCGCAGAGTTCATGGAATGATTACCACAAGATTTGCCCAAATGGTGAACTAGCAGGGAATGATCTGACCATATTGATAAATATTTTAGGAATTGAACCTAACCTCATATCTAATGATATGCTTGATTAGATGATGATGCAATGTGCAATGTAATTTATTATCACCATTGATCTAATCTACTAATTCTGATCAATCACTTCCTTAATT